AAATGTAACTTTCTTTTTAGAAAAAAATGAAATCCAAAAGGAATCTTAAGGGTGTGTTTGATAGATATTATTGAGGAAATAATGTATTTTAAATAGTGATATGATGGGAAATATGTGATTAAAAAGTAAGGAAAAATTATTTTGTTGGAGAATGTGAAGCTGAAAATGAATTTTTAAATAACGTATTTTGAAAGTATGTGCGTGAATCATGACCTAAAAAATATTTAAAAGAAAAAAATAAGTAGCGCCTCTTGGTTGTACACGTCCAAGACCATTGCCATGCATGTTATTACAACATTAATCCCTAATTTCAACGTGTCATAAGAACAACGCTGCCACTTGCCACGTACTCTCGTGGGTCCCACTTAAACACACTCCCTCCACTGTTACCCCCACACCCGCTCGCCCCACCTAGCTTGCCTATATAAACACCTTTCTCCTTCGTCTAGCCATACCCTAATTCTCTTACAAAACACAGTGGGGAATATAGAGATAATGACGCCCGTGAAGAGAGCGAGGAAGATGAGTAGCGGTGGGGCTTCAAATGGGGTGCATTTCCGTGGTGTAAGGAAGAGGCCATGGGGGAAATTTTCTGCAGAGATTAGGGAACCTGCAAGCAAGGGCCGGAGATGGCTTGGAACTTTTAACACGGCGGAGGAAGCCGCCAGAGCCTATGATGCCGCCGCCTGGAGGTACCATGGTGCGAAGGCAAAGATGAATTTCCCTAATGAGAGGATTAACGTAAATGGCGGTACATGTATTATGCATGGGAGCGGTGGTTCTCGGAGCTCTAGCCAGAGCAGCACCGTTGAGTCGTCCAATCGGGATGCCATCGCCGCCGTGCCTAAGCCGGTGGAATCCAGTCCTTTTGACTTGACTCTGGCTCCTCCTAGAAGCTTTCCCATTGAGAAATATTATCCGCAGCGCCGCTTGACATCGGCTCCTTCTCTCGGCCAGCCGATGAGGTCTCACATTCAAAGTCCGCCTCAGCGTCACCTCCCTGTCGCTCCCAATCAGGATCAGCAAGCGAGGGCTCCCCGAAAGTACCGCCGCCGTCCCAGCACTCCGGAGCCAGAGCCTGAACCGCTACCATTAGGTCTTTATCTTTCCGATGAAGCCAAGGAAGAAATCGCCGAATTCATCCGCGCAAAGATCCGGGCAGGTACTATGCAATTGCCGCCTACATCATCCGACGAAGAAATGGATTTTGATCTGAACGAGGCACCACCGGAGGAGGATTGATGCCGGTCGCCGGTGGTTGTCTGAATTTAAATTGTCTATGAAGTAATATGGTGTGTTTCTTTTGTGTGCAAGAAAATGTTGTTGTTTTTCCTTTCGTGTTCTTCAAATAATGTAACTTTCAGTTTGTTAGCTTAATGTAATGTAGCTCTTACTAATTTATAAATCTTATGTTATGTTTGTTTAGTCTCTTTTAATTTAAGTTTCAAAATAATTTTAAAATACAACCCTCCAAAGATACAACAAACTCGAATAGCGAAAACCAATAATTATAGCGAAAAATATTACAGTTGATGAGAAGTACGACTATTGCTCATAAAATGTAATTAACTTTACGCTATACTATCAGTCTCCCAATGGGGGAAGTTCGTGTTATTTTTATCGTATTATATGTTTTTGTCGTCAATAAAATATACCATCTTTAATGATTTATTTTTTAAAAATGTCATAAAAGCATCGTTTCTATACTTACATATATCTAGCTTGTTAAACACTGATATCCAATTATGAATAGCAGCGACGGATCTAAGATTTCAACTGAGTACAGATAGTTGTTGACCGTTGACCATTAATGACAACAATAAAAATCAATACCATGAATTAAAATTACTTGTATCGTAATTCGAATTGAAAGTATAGATGCATAGTTATTAAACCCGGACCGGACCGGCCGGTACAGTCTGGGAACCGGTGAATCGGACCTAAGTCCGGTCCGGATCAGTCATTTTGGATCAAGAGCATATAACCCGGTTAAAAAACCTGTGAACCGCCGATTTATTAAGAAACCCGCTAACCCGATTTCTTATGAACCGGCCGGGTTCCTTCTGATTATATAAAAACCACAATTTTTCACCTCCCACACCGTGAGAAATCGAGAAAACCCTTCGGCCTTCCCACTCTCCCTCTACTACTTTCTGTCGCAAGGATCTAAATCCCCAATTTGAAGTTGTAATTGAAGGAAGAAGAACATGTAAGTCTGGATTTTTTTATTTAATTATTTTTTTGTAAATTTCAAGTGTTTTCCATTATCAGCTTGAAAGTTTTTGGGTCCTTGGAACTTCACGTGTTTTTGGGTTTGTTTTGGGAAAACAGAAGAAATTTTTAAGATTTGATGGTTTGTTTAAGTAATTTATGTGTTGATTATTATGTAATTGTATTTTAACATCTTACTTTTTGATTGTAAATTGAGTTTACTGGTCTTGTCTTGTGAGTTATCAAACATTATCCATTTTGATTTTGTGTATTAATTACAATTTTTGCATAATTGGTAATTTGTTACTGCAATGGGGGTGGTCTTTCTGTGATGAGCAGCAGTGCTGGCCTTACACATTTCTCTGCTATAGCAAGCGAGGATACTTGTTTAAAATTCTCTCTTTTTTAACTATTATCAGCCTGGAAGTTAATAGGTCAGTGCCAACCTTAGATAGTTCTCTGCGGTAGTAAGTGAGGATACTTGTTTAAAATTCTCTCTTTTTCAACAATTATCAGCCTGGAAGTTAATAGGACATGTGATTACAGTATCTAATTGAAGCTTTAAAATTCTCCTTTTTTTTGTGCAACAACGGTAATATTCTTATAGCATATGAAGCTATTTTGTTGAACTTTGTTAGATAAAGTAGTTTTTTTTTATCATTGATTGTGTGTTTTTATTGTTTTAAATGCATATTTAACTACACATGATTTAGAATTTGTGAAATTTGGGATATGTATTGATCTTTAGTTAACAAAATAATATAAGGTTAATTTAGTTATTGGTAGAAAATGATAAAATTTTATTGTTCAATGAAAATAATTAATAATATATTTGACATGAAGTGACCCACCGATTGAACCACAAACCCATTGAACCGATGTACTGTCCGGGTCGAGTCTGACAACTACGTATAGATGTACATTATCTACCAGTTTAATAATATTTATCGAGTAAGAATCTTGAGTTTGAAAAAATGGTCAAATTACTTACTCACTTTCTTGATTCGATTTATTAATAATCCCAGTCTAACAAAAAGAAAAAGGTGACTATTTCATAGCTTTAAAGATGACAAAGATTTTGTCATTAAATGTGTGAAGAAGAATTGGTATCAATGCTTATTTGAATCGCTAAATTTTCTTGCCGATTATATAGTCTCAAATGACAAGATTAAAACAAATAAATTTTTAGGTTTCAATAAATGTCAACGGTCAATTTTATTTTCTTCTTAGTTATTCTTCCACTGTTCAAAATATAGTTATCATATTCGATTCGATCATTGATCCGAAAAAATTATCAGATCTTCGAGTCAGTATTTTAACCACTGATTCATTATAATGTCGAATTTTAGAAGTACTGATGTACATAACAGAAACATTAGTACATTGATATAAAAAAAATAATGTCAACGGATCCAGCACGGACTATCACTTGAGCTTGCCGAGTATTTAGATCCCCCGTTGATGAATAATATTACTCTTTCATTATGTCGTTAATGTTCTTAAAAGTAAAACAACCTAATAGGTCGTGAAATAATTTTAGTCTGTTTTTGTTTAATAGTATCATAGTAGTACTACCGATACTCAATGTATATTCCAGTACTATAAACACAGTTATTTGACACCTAGTCTTAGATGCGATTGAACAATTATACTTTACATTTTACTGCGTATGTCCTTGTGAATCTTAAATTAAAATAACTAAAAAGGATATAGAAAAATTATATAATCGACCATTAAAATAGAGTACTTTAGTAAATTTAATGTATTCTAGATTGTCAATGTCATAAAATTATGTCAAATATGATTAAAATTTGCCCACCAATTAATAAGAAGGAATCGTAAAAGATTTTAACATGGGATAAAATCTACACTATAATTCAATAATTTATTTGAAGTATAAAATTTTACGGTGGGATAAAATCAGCATTAAAATTCAAGTATTTAATATAAGAATAAATCTATATGTACATAATTATTGTACATAATTGATTACATAGGCCCATGTGGAAGAAATCCGACCGTGGATGTGAAGTGTGGAAAAGTCAAAAATTGTAGACTACCGATAAATGTGCGCCACATGTCAATTATGTATATTATGTAAATGCTTATGTACTTGTAGCATGGTCCTTAATATAATTGGTAGGGGATAAAATCAATTTTATGATTCAAGCATTCAAATATAATTGTTGATGGAATTATAACTTTGTTTCATTTTTGAAACTTAACTCTTATAGAATCAAGATTCGAAGATACATTACACGATGAATGTATACATGAAATCGTACGCTAGACAAATACATTATGATATCAATTTCTACTAGTTACATCAGTACTAAACTCTTCATTGTACCGAATTAGAGGTCTGATATAAATGACCAGGTACACTATAGAACTTGTGAAGCTAAGACCATTTGAAATGTCATGTCATGGGATGGCTTCTTGATGTGCACAAGTATGGCCACAAAATATGGAAATTTTGGCTTGTATTTTAAACCCAATGGTTAATCAATCATGAAAGTAAGCTAGGCCCATTCTCGTCTGCTGTTCGAGCATGCTCGTGGTTGTGGTGTCTAGCCATTTGTACATCACGAGAAAAATGTGTTCTTGCTTTTGCATAAGGGGCGTCTCTCGCTGAGAAAAACATAAAGCAACTATGTCAAAAGACCACTCTCTTATCTGGAGCCAATGCATTGTATCCGTATTTCTGTTAAATCATCATATCGCCCTCATATGTCGAACTCTGTGAACTAGATTTTGTTTCCTAACTTGGACTGGGGGCAAAAATTTGAAGCGAGGCATATAGTTTGGAACAGATAATGCAATTTTCCCAAATTAAAATATGCTTACCTGCAATTCTTTGAGCACGGAGAATATTTTGCCGCCTTTTCCACCAACAAGTTAAGCATGTGACAAGGAGTAGGAATGCCACACAGCCACCTAACCCAATGCCAATTTTAACACCAGCAGAAAGATGGGGTCCGCATGTCGGTAATCCAGGTATTCCACAAAGACCTTTATTATCCGTAAAACTGCAAACGTCCATCGTAAGTATTATAAGATAGAACGATAAAAAAGCGTCCAACATCTACAAGAATTTTGTGGTGATTGAAAACTGGCATGTCAAGAACCTACTTAAAGCTAGCTCCGTGCAAGAGCCTTCCTCCAAGCGCAGATGGGACTTTTCCAGAAAGGGAGTTGCTATTCAGATACCTGTACAGTAATATTATATTAGAGTCATCTAAACAGTATTTCCATTTAATAGGAAATCAAATGTCGAAGAATCTTACAGTCTCTTCAATGAGGTTAACTGCCCGATGCTTTCAGGAATAGATCCATTGAAAAAGTTGCCTGAGAGATCCCTGTCGTTCACATCTTCCGTCAGCATTTTGTTGAACTAGAAAGCACCATTATGTATAGAAAGCTAAACTACAGATTCCACTAATTATAGTAACATTAACAGATAGCCACATTTGGATTACCAAATTCAAAGAAATATATTAATTTTCTTCAATATCAACTTTCCAAATTCCACTTGATGACCTCTCTTTGTAACTACATTTAAAAACTATTACTTGACACTCAGACGGAGCCATTTATGATGGTTCCTATTGCTCATCATTCTTTGGAATATGCCGTTGCAGACTAGCAGGTGTTTGGGGGAGGGGGAAGGGGGGCACTAGATTTCTGTATATTAAAAAGAATCATAATAGAAGAAACCAGAAACCTCTATCAACCGAAGAATTTCTTTGGTATAGGGAAATATAAGCCCATGTACATGCTTTATAACACTCGTGAAATAAGAACGTTCTCCTAGTTCGCCCTTTTAAGAGAAAAACAAGACTTATTGACAAAATACTTACTCTCCCACCTAAAAACTAAGATTACTTGAAATTCATCCGAGAAACCACAGAAAAAACCTAGTCATACCACATGACTACAACCTACACCTAACTACATCTATTAGATCCCATGGACGAAGGCATTCTTTACTGCAAGCTGGTATAGGGGCCACGAAAAGAAGCCAGGATATC